ACATTGTTTGCAATTGTCATGGGAAAAGATACTGAATGATAAAGGACAGATTACCTTGTCAGAATGATGATGATGTTCTCCATCCCAAAACGTGAGGTTTGCAGGAGAAGTTATAATTCTTCATTCTTTGACTACAGCCAGAAGGAATGTAGCTATCAACTTTTATGTATTATTAATAATAGGAAATTGACCCATCAAATTTATGTCTGCTAGAATATGATGTTAAAGAAAATGGACTGAGTTCTCAATTTATAACGTTTTTATTTAATAATGATACGTTCTTGTCTGTTGCTGGTTGTGGAGGAGAGGCAGCGAGTGCAGACCCTGGTGATTGCCAGTTGTGCAGTTGGGATCATCTGAATTGCTGGCTCACGCTAAATGTAGAAATAGAAGTTTTTTTTCAGAATGTGTTTCCAGAAACAGCACAGTTCACAGGATAGCACATCTGCATTCACACAGCGGGCAGCTTTGGGGCTGTCACACAAATACAGCCAGACTGTAATGGAATGTGATCAAATAAGTCTGCATAGTTGTATGCCCCACAGGTTCACAGTAAGCTGTATCACCAGCTGCATTAAGTGTGGCTGGAGGGGGTCTGTTAAGTGATGTAGCTCCTTCTTTGAAGGGTCTGCATGCTGTCATGGCTCTGGGCCACACAAAAAGGTCACATTTTGGATTGTACGTCAAGGATTTGATGAGCATCTTGATTTTCATTTCATCTCTTCAAAATCTAAGAAACTGGAAGAATTGGAGAAAGAGGAAGAGCTGAGAGAAGCTGCTGGAGAATATGACAGTGAACCAGAAAGTGAAGATGAAGAGATGATGGAAATCCGGCAGTTGGCACTACAGATCCGAGAAAAGAAGAAACTGAAAATCCTGCAGTCAAAGGAGAAAGATACTCGAGGTCCAAGGATGCCTAGAACAGCTAAAAAGGTGAGTGGAGAACATGCTATCAAAGTCTCCTGATGTTTAATAACTTTAAAGGAACATACAAGAATAATAGGTAGTACAGCTGTCAACCTTTTCTCATGTTTGCCCCTCTCGCTCGCTGTTTGCTTCCTGCTGCCCTCCCAGGAGTTCTGGCCACTACTTGATTGTGGAGGCCAAACCAGATGAGTGACAGTAGCCCTTCTTGGTCTGGGTCACACAAGTGTGTCTCATGTAAAATTCCACATATGTATTGCAGAAAAAGTTCTGAAGAATATAACTCAGCTCATCTGATTGGGTTGCATCGTATATTGTTATTATTATTGTTGTTATTTTAAATTCATATAATGAGGAAAAGCTTTTGTGAGCAGCCCAGGGTGGTTACAAATAATATCTGACAAGAAGACATCTTGAGAAAAGGTATACAGCTGATTTGGCACCCAGTATTTCTTACCTTTCCTGAAGTGTGTCTTTTAGGAGGGGAGGAGAGATTTCTGACTGAAGTGACCGCTCTTGGTCACCTTCCCCCCCAAAAAGGCAAACTATTTGAAAGATCTTTTAGGGAATGCTGGGACATTGCAGGCCTGCGAAGGGGATTTACGGGTGAAAAGAATTTAGTTGCAGTAGATGAAACAGGGAGTTATGACTTCCATCATCTGCCTGTGAGATGTACCAAAGGAGTAAATGTGTGGTCAATGTAATGGGCTTATGGTGGTATATTAAGACAAGAAACAAGATAGAACCATACTTTCTGGAAAGAAACATGTTCTCTTACCTGTCTTTTTTACAGGTCCAGCGGAAGGTGCTAGAGAAGGAAATGACAGATCTTGGACTCGACATGACTAACAAAGATGACGTAAGTTTTTGCTGCTTAAACACAATGCTCATCTAAAGGAGATCAGTTTCATTAGACACTGGATTTCTCCAAGCATGTTTGAGCATGCATATTACAGTTAGAAAGGTGAGAGGTGGGATCTATTAAGGAGAAAATAGGAAACCCAGACAAGGCAGTATTGGAATTTTTGAGTGACGTGATCAAAATATGTTGGGTAGGCTGAAAAGACACCATTTATCACTAATCACACACATATATATCTATATACACACTGCTTTCTATTAGGACTCTTTTGGAGTTTGTGTAGGATCGAACAGGATTTGGCTAAAGGCACTTGGTTTTCCAGTGTGCTTTGTTGGATGAGCTACTGCTATGTCTGAAATAGTAATAATGACAGATCAAGCTCATCTTTTTACAGTTTATGAGTTCTGTGAGTTGTAATTGAAGTTTTTGAGGGCAGCTGGCCTCTCTAGATGTAAGGCAGCTTCAAACACAGATTTGCCTGTGGGAGACATTTCATTTTATCAGACATCTTTAAAAAATGCATTTTGTACAGCAAATCCAGCAGTATTATGGGACCAAGGAGTGTCAACATTACACATCTGAAGGAAGCATTTGCACTGCTCTGAGCCGACGTGCCATGTTGATTTAGGAGCAATGTCAGTGAGAAGGAATTCAATACTTACGCTGTAGTATGGTAAATCTTCATGTCTAAAATTCTTCAGGGCTTTGTCCTGTAAACAGGACACTAATCACGGAAGGTTTCTTCATTGCTGCTTTGCTGTTGCAGAATTGCTTCACTATTGCTATCTGTTAATTTGTGTGTGTCTCTTTATCGTTATGTACAAATCTACTTGGAAAAGAAATCAGAACTGAAGTGAATAACTGTGAAAAGAGTATGCTGATATTTACCAAGCTTTGTATTGTAATGGAGTACAGAAAGGCAGGGACCAACAGTTGACAGGGTCTTCATGTTACTATGGAATAACCAGTATAATGTATCACAGCAGTCCACTTCCTGGCTTTTTGTATGGAAGTGGAGCATGTCCGGGACAGTTGTTTCTGAGTTTCATGATTAAAGTGATGTTTTGAATTTCAGGCCCATTATGTGAGAAGGTCCCGCAGTACTACAAGGAAACGTAAACGTGATGAATCTGAAACTCCTAAATCCGTGGCACGCAGTCGCAGCTCCTCTCGCACACCACGGGATGTTTCTGGTCTTCGTGATGAAAAGGTTTGTTAAAGTTATTTACCTTTACAGCAATTAAATCTTAGCAAACTAAATGTTGGGCCCCCCAACACAAGAGGGATGTGGACCTGTAGGAGCAAGTCCAGAGGAAGCCATGGAGATGCTCAGAGGGCTGGAGTACTGCCTCTGCTGTGGAGACAGGCTGAGAGCTGGGCTTGTTCAGCCTGGAGAAGGCTCAGAGCAGCTTCCAGTGCCTTAAGGGGCCAACAAGAAATCTTGAGAGGGACTTTTTACAAGGACATGTAGTGATAGGACAAGGGTGAATGGCTTTAAACTGGCAGAGGGGATATTTACATTAGATATTAGGAAGAAAGTCTTCACAGTGATGGTGGTGAGGCACTGGCACCTTCTCACTGGTAGTGAGAAGCTGTGGCTGCCCCATCCTGGTCTGGTGTGAGGTGTCCCTGCCCATGGCAGGGTGGTTGGAACTGGATGAGCTTTAATGTCCTTTTCAACACTAACCATTCTATGTCTGTATAATAAATCAGCTTGATTGTACTTAAAGCAGCTTCTGGGAACCATCACACTGGCTGGTTCTGTTTGTCCAGAGTTCAGTTCATTTGAACTCCATACCTCAAAAGTGCCTTGTTCATTCTTACAAATACTACAGACTAAGGAAGTACATTGTAAATTTTTGTCTCAAATGCACATACGAAGGAAGAGATCTACAAACTGTGGAGCTCCTCCTTCAGTAAGTTAGGGATTCTATGGATAGTGCAATCATAGCATTGGAGTACTGGAAGAAGAACAGTTCTGCTAAGGAGGATTAGCATCATTTGCATCAAGCCTGTCCTAGAGTATGTTGGGTGTTAGTTCATTTCCTTGTTAAAATCAGCTAGGTCAGTAGTTTTTGGAAGGTAAAGCTGGTCACCTGAGTTACTGAGGAATGTTTGTGTTTGTTTTTCAATAGATGGTGAAGAAGGTCAAGATCATGGCAAAGAAAGCTCAAAAGAAGATGAATCGCCTGGGCAGGAAAGGGGAGTCAGACAGACACATATTTAACTTGAGGCCAAAACATCTGCTGGCTGGAAAGAGAAAATCTGGTAAAACACAGAGAAGATAAAGGAGTCTTCTGAATTCCAAATAAAAACTCTGTCTGTGAAAACCGATTTCTAGTCCTCTTTTTCCTTCTAGTATTACAGTGTTAAAAAAATACATGGTTCGTGTTAGTAGCTTAGATACCTGAAGCTCAGAGAGCTTATACCTTGATCTTGCAGAATGCTTTATCTGTTCAAGGCAGAAGACTGACAAAAGTGAAATACTCCCTTTTTGTCACTGGTTGGTCAAGAACAAGGTAGGAATTACCCAGAGGTTAGTAAAGTTATGCATTATAAATATGCTTCCTGAACACTACACTTAAAATGCAGAGATTTAAATGGGAATCCAGTGAAAGGGGATGTTAAAAACAAAACAGCAAGAATCCTTAAATTATTATTGTTGTCACTATTAAAATACAACAAGGTAAGAAGAGTTCAGAAAGAAAACAAGTCCAAAGTTTATCTTAGGTATTTTAATGACAGTCTTTAAGATAATGTATTTTAAGTATTTGAAAAGTACTGTAATGCATTACTTGGGTAATGTGGCTGATTGCACTGAATTAATAATTGAGTGGTTATACTGAATCACTGTTCCCTCACCCACATACAACCACCTTTGCTCTAACAAAAACCTCTAAGTGTTGAAAACTGGGAGATGCTGGCACATGGGAAGCTTCAGTGCTGCAGTCACGACTGGGACACAAAAGAGCATGTTAACCTCTGGGAAAAAGGAGTTTTACCTCAAACCAAACACAGACTGGTTACAACTGTTTTACACACAGCAAGAAATGGTATGGAAGGCATACTGTTCCAGCAAGACACCTCTGGGAGAAGTTAACTTCAGAGATGTATGTTGAGCTATCCGCTAACAGAAGACATCACAATTGATAAATAAACCACGAAGCCCAAGAATAATTAACTCAAATTGAGACACCCTACATTATATGTCTTACTTTATAAAGCCTTTTACTTTATAAAGCCTTGACATCAAGATCAAAAAAGATTAGCTCTTGCACCATGGTGGAACTTCTGGTGAACCAAAATCAAGACCTGATGTAAGCCCACAAGTAGTTCATCTTGAATTTTGGAGTATAAGGAGTTTGAGCTGTCTGGAAGTGACCATTACAGCAGATGCTGTATGAAAAAAAAACTCCTGTCAGGATGCCTTTGTTTTCTGAAAATTGGAGAAAAGCCATTTAATTCCTGTGTTAGATAAGTACTGTTTGTGTGTGCTACAATTAACATCCCTCCTCTTTTTTTAAGACATGTCCAGTATCTAGCCATAAACTGACCAGAAAAGGTTGGTGGGGAAAAAAAAACAACATTGGGCAGAGGGGGTGTTTGGCTTATTATCTAAAGCTATGACATATATTGCAGCACTTCAAAGTGAAACTATCCACACAGACAATCCAATTACTTAAGCTTTTATGTGCTCAGTTAATTATAGAGTACACTAGCTGAAGAGACTTGCTTTCTGCAATTAAAGTCATCCTGATTACTTTGAATTAATTGGGTTTTTCTTCAGGCAACCTATCTGCTCAGCATCAGTGCAGAGCTTGCCTCCGTGTGTCACTGCTGCTGCATAGGGGCCAGGCCCACTGGAGGAGCAGGACAGGGTGTGGAGTTGTGCAACGGAGCAAGAGCAAAGTCGGCACACTCAGGCTGAGGATCTTATGTATCACATCAGGTAGTGGAGAAGAATGAGCCCAGATGTTTCTTATGTTGCCACTACCCATTTTACATGAGATCAATGGTAACACTCCCAAGAGAAACAGGGCTGGGGGACTAAAAGGTGAAGACAGGAAAAAAAACCACTGGCTATAACCATCTCTGTATGAGAACACATTACTAAACATGCTCCAAGTTTTCTGCAGACAGTAACTGAGTCACGAGCTACCATCGTGTCAATGAGAGCACATCACTGCCAGCCTTCAGCATCCTTTTCCCCAGTTACATTCGGTGTATTTTCTCATGATCAATGAATTTGTTCAAGTTATGCAAGTTATCCCACCACTTAAAAAGAAAAGCCTCTGCAATGAGTTTAAACCACGGAGTAATCTTAACTTCATCCCTGGAAGCTTTGTCCAAGAGCTGTTTCAGTTCCTTCTGCGTCACGTAGCAGTGGCTTTGGATCTCATTAGGGTCAGGATTAAGAGTTACATCCTTCTGTACAAATAAGATGTAGTCTATCTCATGTTCTCCCCAGATCCCATCGGACTTGGCCTTGTAGTGAATCCGTGTCAGGTACTGGATTTCTTCTGGAGTCACCTGCAGCCAAAACACTTGTCAGAGCCAGTGCCAAACTGGAACACTTGCACTGCTAGGCATGGCAGTAGAACTCCCAGCTGTTACCTGCTTCCTTAAACACTATTTTTCCCCCAGGCGTACAACTGCAATGTACTTCACAAAGAGTTACTGGCAGGGTGGTTGGAACCAGATGATCTTGAGGTCCTTTCCAACTTTGACCATTCTGTGATTCTATACATGAAGTTCTAAATAACTTCTGCCAGATGTGAATCATCAATAGAATACAACTGCTTGCACCTACCCTCCACCTCCCAAGGGAAAGACATTCTAAAGCTAGGGCCAGAACTGCGTATGACAGACCATGCACACCCTCATCTACCAGAGATCTGGGCAAGTGGCAGACTGGGTAATTAATTCTGGGGACCACCACTGCATTATGCTTCCCAGTCGCGCGCTGCTCCTCCTGTGTCCTAGGGCACAAATGTAAAGTTACAAAACCTGGGAAGAGATCTGGACCAGGATCATAGTTCAGGCAGCTGCACCCTGCTCTCTGTGCGCTCCCGAACTGCCACCAGAAAGGAAGGTACGAGAAGCAGGCTGTACAAACACCGAGTGCCAAGGCCACACTACTTCCCATTGGAAACCTGGGATTGCAGAGAGGCTTGTACATGGCTCTTGGCAGCACATTAACAGTGATGCCCTCCAGGAGCAGCAGTCCTACCAAAAGTGTGCAGCACTCTGCTGTTGTCCTAGAGGAAGGGTGTCATTTTTGCCTTCCCCTGGGCAAGCAGAACGGCCTGCCCAGCTGGAAAACACAGGCTAGACATGAAGCAACGCAGTCCTTCATCACAGCCTGATTTACTTTTTGGCTCATGCTCAGTCTGAGCCAAATATTCTAAAATACTAATTACTGAGATGAACTTTCGAGACCCTGGAACATAGATGAAGTTCACTGAGTTCCCTGTATCTCCGAAGTTAAGCCTGTTCTTAGGTTTCAGGCTGACCCTGGCTGCCAGATACAGTTAGTCTGTAAATTGGCAAGAATTCCTGTTCCTCCCTTCTTCTGTTACCTGCTCCATGGGAATTCCTAACTCTGCTTTGAGTCGTCTCTGTGCTGCTCTCCGAACACCAATGGCATTATTTTCTTCCAGTTCCAATGGATGGCTTAGAGGATGACTGCAACAAGTGTTGGTAAAGCAATCTGCAAGAAGTTTCGATCAGTACATTTTTGACACACAAAGTACTGGGGAAAAAAAGAAACAAACAACAAAACCACCAAAACCCCAAACCAAACACAAAACCAAAAACCAAACAAAACACAAAACCACCCCCCCCCAGACGTAGAGCAGTTATTCAATGCATCACAACTGTTTCTCTTTTGCAGAGAAGGGTACGAGAGGAAGGAAGGTGTTTTCACCTCATACTTCACCTATTTTGCAACAAAATTTGCCTCTACAAGTACACTGCAGGTTAGTTTGATTCACATGGAGACATGCATTCTCATACCCATGACAAAACCTACTTAGAAAGCATGTTTATGAAAGCCTTGTTTACTCTGCAAATGACAATTAAAATTACTTTGGGGAGTTTATAGGCAACAGAACACTGGAAATATTCCTAGAGCTTCAAGAGCAGCTGCCTGTAAGTAGAAGTAAATACACAGTTTATGCTTGTGTTTAAAGGACACATCCTGTGTATTCTGTTTCAAGTATATGAAAAATTACTTTTCAGTTATGTAGAATAGCTGTGATTGGCCAACCTTTTATCTGTAGCAGTCCAGCTAAAAAGCATCTAAAGTAGAGCCAGGTTACCTACAGACTACTCAGCAGCATTTTCAGTAGCTAGCAGTCAAGGAAAGAAAACGAGGTCTCTCTTCCAGGAGAGGGTTAGAAACACTTGTATTCATTTTCCTTCCAAAATTCTGAAACAGCTTTGTGCTTCCTCAAACACATCTCGTGTAAGCTATTTTTCTTTCATTATTTTTATGTCTCTCCATCTGCATTCAATCGTAGGGGTTCAGGAGTTTCAAAGATTGCCTGGCCACACAGTCTCACTTCTTCTACAGTTAAAAAAGTGCTGGTGAAGACATACACAGCTAACGGTCTGTGGATCTCACTGAAGCACAATGCAGCTGTTTCCAAGCAGCAGGGCTCTGCTACTTATCACCTACGTTTCTTTACCAGTGGAATGAGAACACTCTCCACAGCTACCAGAGCAATTCCTGCAGCTCCATGAAATAAATCTTGCAGCAGAGAAGGTAAACAACACAAATTCCGTGCTTGCATAAACAGGATCAACCATGTCAGGGAACAATCATTTCCTAAGAACGTACATAGCAATAAGCTACCGTTCTCATTGTCTTACATCATCCACAAGGTACGTACATCTTTCAACATCAATACAAGGGGAGTATTTAGAAGTACCTCCCCTCTGAAGCAGTAAATTCTAATACCTAAAATGAGTTACACTGTAAGATTAGGCCAGCATATTTTTTTAAATAGAACATTTTGATAAATACAGTCTGCTTTAGTACTAACCTGGAAATGTAATTTTTGCACTTGACCTCTGCTGTAGTAACAGTTTATTTTCTGTATTAAATAAGAAAACACTGAAAGCTCGGTGCAGTAGACCTGAAAACAGAAAAACAAAACACGGAGAGCTGTTTAACAGAGGAGAGAAAAAACATACAGAGTTATTTCAAGAGCTTAGAACAGCCTCATTTTGGAGTATTCTAATTAAAAACTCACTTGTTAAAAACCAAGGATTTGATAAAAAACTTCAGTTATTATTTAGGGTCTTATGCAAACATTATGAAATTAGAGAAGTGTTAAGAACAACTGCAACAGAAGAGTTCTTCTAAACTTGGTCAGTTTGCCATTCTGAACACTCATGTTTGGGCAAGCTTTGAAGGAAGGTTCAGTAACCAAAAATTTATTATCAAAAAGAGATGACTCAAATTCCTAAGAAAATCTGTATGGAATTTTAAGACACTTCATGAATTGCAAAAGTACACTGGAAGATAGGCTCACTTAAGTGAAATTTTGCTTTTTTCTGCCCCTTTTGAGTTTGTTATTCATAGAATCACAGAATGGTTTGGGCTGGAAGGGACCTTGAAGCTCATCCAGTTCCAACCCCCTGCCATGGGCAGGGACACCTTCCACTAGACCAGACTGCTCAAAGCTCCATTCCTCACTCTTCAGGAAGATGTTTTCCCCGAGTACAAAAAAGGAGGTCACACACTACTATGGGAGATTCATGAATCTGACCAACCTCAAATAAAATCCACAATCAATTAGAATGACACCAACAAAAGTCTTTTCTGTTAGCAGTATTTGAAGCAGAACTCTGTGTGAAGAACTTAAAAATCAAAGCCTCTTCTACTTGAAAACAACTCAGTGGCATTCTCTAGGAAAAGCTACATAGAATCAGGTATCCATAATAGCATAATAACAGGACAATAGGATTTCTATCACCAAAATGGGATTCAGAAGTATTTATAGAGATATGCAGCTTATACCCACAATGACACATTTCTCTCCTTTGCTACTGCTTGCCATTGTGTGTTTCTCCATACTGCAGTACTTTTAAAATTAGATACTGCACGCTGGGGGAGGAGGGGGGCTGTGAGGAAGCACTTGCTCTGGTTCGATCAACCTGTTAATGTAATCATGACTGGATTTCTGAAAACACTCATTCAACTTAACTGTTCAAGCAGAAGGCTCAATTAAGCCATACCTTTATCAATGTTCTCATTCAAGTGGCAGTTTTTCTTGGTATCTGCTCCAATCTTATTATCATTTTCATCAATCAGGATGCACATCTCTGCCAAGAGCTGCACCTGCTGCTCATCCAGGTGGTCTGTGCTTACTTCAGGCATTGTGATGGTGGCACACGTTCTACTGTAAATAAAAACAACAGAACGAAGAGTCACTCAGTACTAACAACATCCATAAGGTTCTGGACGAAGTAGGAGAAACAATCAAATGGCTAGGTTTTCTGACATTGTGCACCAACTGTATTTTGGGGGGTCTACATGCTTTTAGATTGCTGAAACTTCCAATTCACAATACCAATCACACATTTGACAGGTGCTTACAAGATCTTTTTCACTTCTCTGAAAGCCCTGCAGCAGCTGCTGCTGAACAGCTGTATCAAATATAACGCTTTGAGAGGGTGGTAGTGCAGGAAATCCAACTCCAAGCTTGACCCAGCACAGAGCTCACCTCGCCTAACCCCACAGCCTGTGCACGTCCTGCACACTGACCTGCGCTACATTTATAGTGCCACACGTCGTGTGCACAACCGGTTTCCCCCCCATCAGTAAGAACTAAGCAACAAGGCTTCCCTGACCAGGCGCTCCAAAACACCCCCAAACCCTGCCCTCGCGGCCCCTGTCCACGCTGCAGCCAGCTCCCACCGCCCTCTGCCTCCGTTGCCCCCCTCCCCGCCGGGCCCCGTCCCTCCGCAGCTGCCCCGCTCCTGCTCAGCCCAGCCCCGTCCCTCAGCAGTCGCCTTCTCTCTCTCCCCCCACCGTCACCTCTGGGCCAGGACCTTCCCCCCACGCAGGCCGGCTGCGGACGCGAGGGTCTGCTGTCGGCCGCACACCCGCCGGCGGCAGCTCCACCCTAGAGGCACGGCAGCCCTGCGGCGGGCCACGGCTCCGGCCCGGCTCAGCACGCGCCACATGGCTCGTCACTCCGCTCCCGCAAATGGCGGCGCCCCACCACTACAACGTCACCGCATCGCACCATCGCCCCACCGCGGTGCAGCCTGCCCAGGAGGAGAGACTTAACAGTGACGGAAGGGCGCAGCCAACTGCAACACAGCCGGGTAGAGACGCTGACCAATAGGAAGAGAGAATAGCGGCGAGCTAGCCAATGGGAGCGGGGAAGCCTAATCGGGCTGTGGCCAGCCGGGCACAGCCATTTCCGTCAGGATGGGAGGAGGGCATGGGCTGTGGTGCCGAGCCGCGGTTCGGGATGGACCTTCTGACACAGAGCCAAGGCTCAGTCGTGGCAGGGCTACGCCGTGCTGGGGCACGCCAAGGCGGATGGAGCGAGGATGGATGTAGGGCGGTACGGGACAGATAGGTACCGCACTGCAGGAGAGCGGACCCCAGGCCTTCATCTGGGGGCAAGCCGCGCTGCAACAGCTTGTGATAAGAGCCTTTATCTTCTCCTGGCAGTGAGAGGTTTAAGAGTTTTTAACACTGAGCGCTGCCTACTGTCTTTATACCCGTGCAGGAAAACCTAAAGGCTGCACCACAGTGCCAGCTCCTACAAGTGTACCTTGCTTGTGGCAAACAGCTTCTGGATCGAATTTATACTCGGGTCTGGGAGCATTCTTCTAGGCAGATACCCTAACCACAAGACTTGAGTCACAGGGCTTTTTCACAGTTTCGGTAGCACACTTGGTTGTTTTTCTTTGCCCTGTAGCAGGGCCCATAGAATCAGAGGGTAAGTGTGTGCCACACAGATCACAGCTTGTGGCACTCTTCAGGGTGGGAACAGTGGTGGTCTCCCTTCCTTTGCTGACAGCTACAGTTCATAGAAAACTCTGTTAGCCAAGCTCTGAAATTGCCAAACTTGTTTTTAAGGGACAGAGAAAGAAACGCCCAGTTTCTAGATGGGAACCAAGCACAGGCAAGATGCCAAGGTGAGCCTCTCCAATATGTGTGTCTAGAAATGCATCAGGTACCTGGTCTAAAGGCAGAGGAACATCAATATCTCTGTAGAAACTTCACACCACCATAATGGAATATGTTTGGAGTAAGACTTCTTTTGCCAGTTTATTGCCTTCCGCAGATTTGGATTTATTGTTAGAGTCCACAAAAGGCCTGTCTCCCATGTTGTCTTGGGTGTATCACTCTTTCTGACTGCCTCTCAGTTCACATTCCAGCATTTTGGTCTGCCTTGAGTTTTCCTGTGAAAGGGACAGATGGCCTTTCATTTAGATACGGTTAGCAAAACAAAATGTTCAAACTGACAGTTAATGTCCTACAAATGGAGTTTCCCTCTGCAAAACTTGATAAATGGCAGGAGGTGGTTTGAGTGAAAGCCACCCGAAACCAGCAGGGAGCATCAGAAGTGAAAAAAAAAAACAAACAACCAAAACCAACCAACATGCCAGCTGCTGTATATCCCTATAACTATAGAAAACATAACATAAAACCATTAATGTTGTGTTATTCATTAACATATTACAAGTGTAATATTATCACAAGCACATTAGTAATAACTAACATGCACTCTCAGAAAGGGCTGAAATAGTTACTTTTTATCCTGAGTCACTATTGATCATGAAAACACAGTAAGTGGATATTGAGCTCTGCAGAACTACTGATAACATCCTTCACCATTATCGATCACTCACTACTTTTACTGATCCAGTGTAACCAAATGTAAGGGACACAAATCTACCCCAGATCTTTAAGCTACTGAGATGGAGATACAAACCAGCATTTCACATGAAGACAATAAAGTTAACAAGAAGCCCTCCTGAGAGTGAAGCCCTGTTGGAATAGAAATTTCTACCCTAAAAGACAGAAATGGGGTCTGCACACGGGGCACAGGTGATGTATGACATACACCGATGAGCAGATGGACACAGTGACATTCAGGCTACACAGTGGAGTGATACCAGAAAAAGATTCCCATAGGTAATGGGTTAAAGAAAAAAAGAATCTTTTCCTTCTTCCTAGTAATAAGTATTGAGAACTTCTCTACAGGCACTTTAGAACCTGTCAGAAAAAAACTATAGCTCCTGTCTTGCACGGACAAAGCACTTCTCCTGGAGCAACACGATGAACAACATGTCTGACATAAAGTGCTGGTGGTTAATGAGAGACAGAAGAGCAGCCAAAAAAGATGAGAGAGACAAAATAACCCCTTTTCACAAAACAGACAAGGGAGAAATCACCCAAGCCTTTAACCAAAGGCACTTTCAGGATTATGTGCTTTGTCACCTGCATCATTGTTTCTCTCACTCCCCTCCAAACTTGCCCTGTTCCTTCAGTGAAGTTCTTTGTGTTGAAGATAAAGCAGCCTCATTTTTGTAATGGTATGCATTTCAGTGAAACCTCAGAACTTTTACTTCACCCCACATAAACAGAGGCATGCCTGAAGTGACATATACATGCCTTTAAATCTTGATTTAATTTATGCATCCCCTGAACTCTGCCAACTGTTTCTAAACACCCTACTAACAAGGGAAAAGCAGTCTTAACCACCACTATAAAATCTCTCATTTCACCTGAAAATCCAGCCAGTTGCAAATCACTGATAGAATTTTGCTCTCTACTAAGGTAAAGAAAACATGACCCCCACCAAACTAGAGCTAAATGCTTTAATTATTCAGCAAATTAAATAAGAAGACAGTAAAGCAGAATAAAATACATGCTGAAGAAACCAGGGGTTTGACCCCAGCCTACAACACACAGTCTCTTGAGACACATCTCAGTTTTCAGCTTTGCTAAGCAAAATTAAGGACTTTTCCCCACTTTTCACAACCAACCCACCTCTTTTTTAAGCTTCCTCTTCACTTTTCCTGATATTGAAGACTTCTAGTTCATCCTTCTCATCTATAGAGCTATACTTATTGCTAGTCTCTATGAAAAATTCTTCCTGGATGTCTGCTCCTGCCCTGAAGCCACAGCTCTTCAAGAAACATTTAAGTAATCCACTTACATGCAGAACAACAACAGCCTGGATGAGGAGGTGAATAGCTTTCTGTCCTAATGAATCAGCTGTTGTTCATTTGCTCCTTCTTTCTTAAAAGGCCTATTTCAGGAAAGTGGGTTGGCTTCAGCTCACTTCAGAGAAGATAGATGGCTTTGTAGTAAAAATGTAATGCATGTATGCTAAATATATAAGTAGGATACTGCACTTGCATTTACTTTTGCTACCTTCAGCATGATGGAAAGTGATATGATGGATGACTTCCAAGTGTACAGCATAAAGCAATGATTAATGATACAGGACATCACTCTTTTAGAATGGTGATGCTGGGATGTTTTCTGTATGGAAGAAGTAACTCTTGAGTCCTTTTCTTTCTTAGATAAGTTTTTCTTTTGTCTTTCTTTTGGTTTGAGCAGATAAGTTTTTCTTTTTCTTTTGATTTGAGCTCTGGGCAGGGTGCTTTGCCTTTTCATGTTTCTTTTACAGGTTTGTAAAATCTTAATTCTTTCAACTATTAGTCTGTTGCTGGTTTCCTAAGCCTTGTATCTTGTCTTCTCAAGTGCAGCCACAGATGCAGAAGCAGGTCTGGAAGGTGATGTGCAGTAACTTTTGCCACTCAGTTTACTGAAATGCCTACTTAAAAAGCTTTTTAGCTGCTGATAAAAGGCAAACTAGTACTGCCCCAAGCTCCCTATGCTCCTGTGTGGCTATCTATGCCTGTTATTTTAAAACAAGTAGTTTGTGAAAAGAAAGTGCAGTCTTTTGTTTTGCACCTGCTTCTATACATCACACAGTGCCTGTTGCTCTTGTAGTGCCGTGGCAAAACCAAATCAGTAACAGGGCTCAAGTGGCAATAGGCCAGCCACTTGCTGTTCTTTCATTATGAAAAAGCAACTGCATCCATACAAGGCCTGTTAATTTTCAGGTCAGGGCCACCCTGCATCAAAGAAAAAGTTGTTTGTTGTTTAAGCCCCTGACTTTCCTTGATGCAGTATTTTCTGTTTCTTCAGGGAGAAAGAAAGGTTATGGTACAGTATGGTGGGGCAAAAAACCTGTTATTATACAGTAGAATTATATTAGGGTAAAGAAATTTTGGTAGGAATAAGGCGGCTAAAAAAATGTTTAGTTAGGAACAGAACAGCTGGGGACTCAAGTTGTGACTTGGCTAAGATAACTGCAACTGTACCAGCTACAAAGAGAAAAGTGTCCCTCAGGTGTTGGTGTTGGGACTGATCCTGTTCAACATCTTTGTTGGTGACATGGACAGTAGGATTGAGTGTGCCCTCACCCAGTTTGCTGGTGACGCTAAATTGTGTGGCGTGTTTGGCGTGCTGGAGTGAAGGGATGCCATCCAGAGGGACCTTGACATGCTTGAGAGGTGGGCCAGTGCCAACCTCATGAAGTTCAACAAGGCTAAGTGAGAGCCACTCTGCATGAAGACCTGGGTAGACTGGAAGAGTGGGCAAACAAGAACCTTATGAAGTTCAAGGAGGACCTAGATAAAGCCCAGTCCTACAGCACAGGCTGGGATCTACCTTGTGGCTGGGGAGCAATTTTGTGGAAAGTGACCTGCGGGTCCTGGTGGACCACAAGCTCAATGTGAGTGAACAGTGTGCTGCTGTGGCAAAGAATTCCCCAATCTGGGTTACATCAATAAGGGAATCACCAACAGAGAGACAGTGGTCATCATCCCACTCTATTTGACACTTGTCAGGCCACAAACGGAATACTGTGTTCATTTTTTTTGTTTTGATTCCATTCTGTGAATTCAAAACATCAAACAGTAGCATTTGGTCAGGTTGTGTTCGGGCTTCCTCCCAGGCAAGTCTGTTCTGTTTCTTGCCTGTCTTCATTTGCCTGTCCTGTCTCCTCACTTTTCCTCTCCTACA